CCTGAACCAGCGTTATGCAGAAGGGATACAATCAAGGTGTTTAATAATTGTGGAGTGGCCATGTTGAGGCCAAATGTCATCGCAAACCTCAACACGCACAAGGAAGACTGCACAAGCCAAGAACTTCACACTTTGCTCAAGGAGTTCAAAGATGTGTTTGTGCTAGGTTCATAACTATACAAAGGTCTACCGGTGAGGCTTATCCTGAAGGAAAATGCCACGCCCCGCTTTTGCAAAGCACATACGGTGCCATACGCTTTGACAACCAAGGGGTCTGATGCTTTGGACAGATTGGTTGCTGACGGTGTGATATCACCAGTTATGGCTGCAGAATGGGCAACGCCAGTGGTTCTCTGTTGTTAAGACTGATGGGTACATTCGACTGTGTGGAGATTTTCGTCTGACAGTGAACACGGCTACAGTGACTAAGCAGTACCCACTACCCCGTGTGGATGACATCTTCGCACGACTGAATGGGGCGAAGTATTTAGTACACTGGATTTGACTCAAGCGTACAACCAGCTGCCCCTGGACGACGCGGCCAAGAAGCTGACAGTCATAAACACTCACATAGGCCTATTTTGCTTCAGCAGGCTTCCTTTTGGGATTAGCTGAGCTCTGGCCATCTTCTAGAGGCATATGGATTCTTTATTCAAGGGTCTCCCGGGTGTACAAGCCTATCTGGATGACATCGTAGTGGCTGAGAAGCGCAATGATACTTCATTGTTAAAGCAAGTCTTGCTGCGCATACGGGACTATGGTCTCAGGCTAAACATCAAGAAATACAAATTCAGACAAGAAGTCATCTTCCTCGGACATCGAGCTGATGCTAATGGGCTCAAATCGAAGGACGACAACATTGAAGCAGTTCTTCAAGCACCGGTCCCCAAGTCAGTGAGCAAACTGAAATCATTCTTGGGCTTAATGAACGCTCCATGTGATAAATCTGCAACTTATTCAGCGCTTTGCTGGTATTGGCAGCGCTCATCACGCGACGCTTATTTGCATATGTACAACGGTAGACCCTGAATGTATTTAGGGCAGCCAGAGCGTGCACCGAAATGCCCTAAAGTGTACTCTAGAAGGCATTGTAAATAATGTGGCTCATTTTTATGATCCTATGAAAAAAATGCAAAAAAATAAAAATAAATACAGAACGGATCTACCGACTTTCTTATGTTTTCAACAGTGAAGCTGTTTAGCAATAAAATAAAGGTTTACAAAGTCAAGCACAGGGTTGAAAGTGCCGCTGGTGTAGTGTACTGCCATGTTTCAGACGAGGCTGTGGCGATTCAATTACTTGAGAGGAATAAAAAGTCAGGAATCTTTGTCAGACGATTTCTCAATCCTATAAAGTCCGTAAAATTGGGCATTCACTGTGTCCCAACCATCCATGGTCCCAACTATAGTGAAGTATATCTAGTTCCCCATAGCAGAGAACACCTATAGGCACCGTGCGGTTGAATTTGTCAATCTGCTTGCAACGCCAGAGCGCAAAGCCTAGCAGGTGGAAACAGCAACACTGAGACAGTGTCCGTGAAAATGGAATGCGACGTGCGCATCTCCCTGTCTGCACGAGCGGGAGGACTGTGGCCAGGCTACACGGTGTTATGCCTGCGAGTCCGCAGCGAACGTCCATGCCTCGGAAAAAGGAAATCTGTGTCAAGGCCAGCACGCGAGCCCGCCTGACGCGATCAACAACTCAACGGCGTCATCACGCGACGGCGCCTTTCTGGCGCGCACGTGCAGCGAGTCACCTCAGCCCGCGAGCCCGTCGAGTAAACAACCGGCGCCTTCCTGTCTGGCGGGTTTGACGCAATGCCTGGTGACGTCACTCGTCCTTGGGTGCAGCCACCTGCAGCGCAGCCTCTCCAGATTCAATGAGAAAGAATGATGCGGCCCAGCGGCGACCCCATTGGAGGAGTCTGACCTCATGACCAGCGGCGCTTCTGGTTGGACATTTTGTTATTCAAAGAATCCACCCGGTGCATATAAAAGAAGCCCTGCGGCGCGTCGCGAGCAGCAGTCCTACGTGAGAGCAGACGTGTGTCGCAGTTGAGCTATGTGTTAGCAGCAGACATGTGTGTCAGCGAAGAGGGCTATGCGATAGAGAGTTGAGCTATGTGTTAGCAGACCCATTTGAGAGCAGACCTATGTGTTAGAGAGGAGAGCTCGGCTCTTCGGGTCTCTAAGCTGTCGGCCCCAGTGCCGAATTTGTAACGCCTCTGTATATATATGCCGTACATAAACCTTGTTTAAATCACCGTCGTCTCGTCCGCTCGTCTATCAGCTCTGCGCAGAAGCAGTCGCGACCTGAGAAACCTATGTTACCAAACAGCTGGTGACCGTGTCGGCGGAGATCGGAGCAGTGGCGCCTTCAGGACCGTGTTGGCGTCGCCGTCTTTCGAAACAGTGGTTGCAGCGGTGAGATTTCGAGGCGCCCTTCGTAACGTCGTCGGAGGCGCGCTTCGTAACAACGGGGAACGCTTGCACGCGTCTCATCTGCGTGCCCCTTATGGCCAATGTCAGCGAACCTGGGATGGGGCAGCGCGATGAATGCAGCTCTCTAGGGTCAGTATGCGGTGCCCATACCAGTATAGTCCCAACCGTGACATTTGGCCAAGTTAGGCTTGGCTTGGCTCGAGTTGTCTCCTATGCAGATGCACCGCGATTTCATTCTTAATGGAAGAACCTCAACTAGTTTCATTTCTGAAAGTCTGAGCACGCCCTTTGGTGCAGATTGGGTGCAGACTAAGCAAATTTTGAGGAAATGTAGCAGCGTGTAGCAGCCAGAGCAATTCAGCGCAGTTTGGTGCAATTGGCGCAGCAGTAGCATCACTGTAGTATGTACAAGCAATCAGCTAATATTGAGGTCTGTATTTTAGAAAAAAGCAAACAAACAAAAACAAGATGGCTAATAAGGCACATTGTTTAATGATAGCCTAATTTGGCTCCACTTGTATGACAATCGGTGTTCTGAAAGTTTTTGAGATCATGCACATTATACTAAAAGTGTGCCAAATAGAAATGTCGAGTATGATGCCACATGCACTCACAGTGCTTGAGTAAGAGCTTGCCTCTAAAAATCATCGAGGAAGAAGAAAAAAAAGATCAACGAGGAAGGCAAAAACCCCCAGGCCTGCGCGGAATGTGCAGCACTGTCACAGCGAAAGCTGGAAGAGTGGCCTTTCAGAACCGTTTTTCAAGCTGCTCCAAGCAAACTTGCAGGGTACCCACTACGTCATAAATCATTGCGTAGTAGGCAGGCATTCACTATGCATTCCATCATTCTCCCCAAGAAGCGTGGCATCCACCGCACACTTGCGAGAAACTTTGTGCAGTTTTCCTTTGTCCTATAGCTGTCGACGATGAGAATTATGCCACAAGCTGTTGTAATCCCTACAATCCCCAACAGTGGGCATGTGCTACAGTAAGATGAGCCTTCTGTGAATGACTTGAGTACTCGAGAACTAACTTGTAGTGTAATTCGCATTGTCTGACATTTGGTTGTTCCTTTCTGTCCTAAAAGGCTTTTTACTCCTATTAACACGATTCCTTTCCTGACATCAAGCCTGCCAAAGACCAGTTTGCCAAGAAGTTCCAAACACTGGCGTGGCTCAGTGGTAGAACACTGGGCTGACACGCAGAGGACCTGGGTTCAAATTCTATTGCACCCTTGGTGTTTTTTATTACCGAGTTTTTTGTTTCGTTTTCTTATTTTGTGCGATATTGTTTACGGACACCAGCAGTGATGGTCACCTACGGCACCATAGGTGGCCTGTGTTGCGTTTTCATAGCTTTCGCAGCAAAGGGGGGGAGGGGGGCTTCAATATTTTTTTTTCATCTCTCGAGAAATAGGGTGAAGCACTTGTTCTAACTTATCGAGTAAAAACATGTTGCATTATTTTAACGATATTTGGCTTGTGAAGCCGAATAACGTTATAGGGCCAGTCAGCAGGCTCTACTTAATTTTTTTTTACACCCCTCCAAACAAGGTTGGTAATTCGTAGAGTAGACAGCAGCGATCACGTTTTCTGAATATTACAGAGCTTCACATCGCGCAGAGCCTCTATTTTCAAAAGGAATGCCTCTGCTCCTTTCCTATGCCTGACCAATGCTCCTTGCACAAGCAGTGACAACTCAACAATCGGCTATGTGACGCAGCACGCAGCTCGTCGATTGGTCTAAACCAGGTCTCAACGAACAGTAGTGAAGTCAATGAGAGTTGCTCTTCACACCCACAGCTACGACAGAGCTATTCAATCTTACAAGTTGCAAAACTTCCCATAGGCTCCATGCATCAAAATCAGGCCACTTCACTGACCTAATTTTAGGGAGTGAGCAGATTGTCGCGCCACCTGTTGATCAGCAAACCCACTATTAAGCGAATTATTTGTGTTTTGTGTTGCTGCTCTCACATGGCATAATAGTCTGGCCAATCTCATGGCCGGGTTTTGGAATGCAGTTGTGCTGCAAATCGTTGTCGGCTGCAAATGGAGCAACTGGGCTGCAGAGAAGCATCGGCACCAGGTAAAACAACCAGGCATCACAGCAAACGGAAGTGCATTGCGACTGATCAAGTCTTGTCACATTGCCGAAGTGCGCAGAGTCACGATGACGGGCCACACCTTCCCTTCCCTCTGAAAGAGAAGGTTGGCGAGGCCGCATGAAAATTTGAAACTAGATGAACGGGATGTTCTAGCCTATTTAACTTTCTTAATGTAGCGAGTATTCGCAAAATTCTTGCGGCAGTATGTTCACGAAGTAAAAGTGCACATATTTCTCTTTACAACAATTTTTGGACATTGAGGTTGTTTACTGGCCCTTTAACACACTTTTTCCAATGAAGGCAAAATATTTTTTGCAAGACTGAAATTGGTGGGGTTGTCTTAGGGACTCAAGCCACAAAATATATTTTCTCCCAGAAAAATTGAAGGGGGTCGCCCGAGATGCACCGATGCTCTTATCTGCACACACACGCCATGTAGTACACAACTGACCATGGCAACATAGTTGTACTTCTGGACCACCCGTATGATGGTGCGAAACTCGTCCTCCAGGTTGGAGGCCCAGACATCGCGGATTCCACAGGCCTCGTTGCAGACGACCAGGCCATTGGTGTTGCCGCCACCGGCACTGCCAGCGCTGTTGGCGCTGGGGCTGCTGCCCGCGGTGCTGGGGGCCGGCATGCTCACCACACATGCAGGGCCTCACCATTACATGTTCTCATGAGGATGCCCCTACCCTGCAAGGAAGGAGTGCATTCTGTGTTACACGGCATTATGAATGGCACATCAGTCTGATCAGGAAGCGTTAACTCCCCCCACCCTAAACGAAAAGCCATTCGTTGGCAGCAGGAAAAAATCGTCATTAGCTCATCTCATATCCATAGTATAATAAGGACCTCTCCTAATGATTTTCAACCAACCTTGTGCTGAACGAGCAAATCCCATTTTCAAATTTCTGAAACTTGTGGCTTCCCCAACCCTTTGCCATCCTCAGCTGTGCCACCCATTCCTTGGTATCCATTGCAACTTTCTAAATGACCATTTGTTACCCGTTATTCCCATGGCATGACCTGTCCAGGTTCTTTTTTTCCCCATTAATATCTACTAAGATATCAGCCAAGCCCCTTCTTTCTCCCTTCCACTCAGCTGTCTTCCTAAAGGGTGGCACCCAAATCCAAGCCCCATAGACTGTTTTCTCGGAGTACAACATAGCCAACGAAGACAAATTCTGCATGCTATATGGAACAAGAGCGTGACACCCAGTAGTCACAGTAATAGATTCCAGGTGGATGGCGACCGCTTCGGTGGTGCGGCCTACTCTGCTACCTAAAAGGTAGCATTTACGGGAACGCAGCATGGAGTGCCTCAATGCCCTTGTTGACTGCCTCTCTGTAGGTGTACGAAGAGGACGCCGAGGTCCTCCAACACAGTACCTGCAGACACTCGTCTTTCCACGTCCTTTGCAGTCTAAGATGCAGATATGCGGCTAATTTTCTAGTTAAGACAATTTTCGGGCGCCCAGTCTTGGTCTCAGTTTCAAAGAGCACTGAGCTAGAGTTTCAAGGTACACACAGCTGGCCGTGTGACTATGCAAAAGGGCGCCACGCGCGAAAGTATGCATGAGTGGGCAGCCAGCAGCAGGCACAGTGAAGGAAATCGCAGTGAGCGCAAGAGCTAGGCACGCGCCAGGAACGAGACAACACTAACTCGTGACATAGGTTTGTTTACATTGCCCCCGCATCTTGTTCAGTAATGCACTTTATTGATGTTTAGATGTTCTAGGCTACATAGGCCCTTGATATTTTGTAGATGTTGTGAAAGTCTCCACATAAATCTATCTTGCTCATTATCTTGCTTCAAAATTTTGTGTCAGTGCTCCTTTACATGTTCTCCAATAGTCCTGGCAGCAGAATGGCAGCTCCATTCATGGCAGGAAACGTCATGGTCATGCGTGCCACAATTGCAGGAAAACCCAAGGCTGCTCAAAGGTTGCAATATCAAACACTAGAACAGCCCAGCATAAACCTAAACAAATTATACCTGTATGACAGTTGCACACCACTTATCCTAAACCGTACTCCTTGCCTATTCCTCATACACTCATCTGCCGCCCAACAAGAAGTCATCACAGCAGCCAAAACTTGGTACCATTTCTGCATTTACCTGCTTCAAAATGTTAGCTAGACTTATTAAAGAGATGAAGTAAAATGCTGTCACATTAACTGACATGATAACAACCTAACAGAACTATAGAGAACATGGAGCACATACATCTCTGTGACTATGTTGTGTTTACACGTTCATACGGCGAATCGTTTGGCACAGTATGCGTGTTTCGATCATTTGCCTTGCCCATATGACAAAAATGAGAATCGTCGAGGACATTATACAGCCAGTAGCGAAGCAGTGTTGACTGAGGAACTCTGATCCTCCATATCTGCAGGGTCCCGAGTTCATGGTGTCACATAATGGTTAAAACTTCACATGAGATTTGGAAACTTGACTTGCATGTTATAAAGTCCCACCTGCATACACATACACTGTTCAGTTTTGAGGTGCCTCATGTTTACGAACACGAGCCATATGATGCGCTACACACACAGCCCTTTCGTGTGGTTGCAGGGGTTTGTGGTCACCTTCAGTGAACAGCACATTCACCCCTTTTTTACCATAGTTATACTTACTTCTCGTGCAGCAGTCAAATACCGCACTGCTTGGCTCGGTATCTGCTGTCATGTATTCGGCGATGGTGGTGCACATGCCAAGATCACATCTCAGAGTTACGTAGAATGACGTGCTTGCAAGTTATGTAAAGCACTGTTTGCTGGAATAATGTACTCAATAGATCAGCCACTGCACACATTATTAAAATTGTGGACGATTCCTGTCTCGAGTGTGCATGTGATCAAACACAAGCTCTTTTTCGCGTAGCGATTGTGGCCACCCAACAAAATAGTGGAAGAAACTTGAAAAGCCCAACAATATAAAACTCACTGCCAAAATATATATGCAGTATCGAGACAAACCACTTCTGCCTTGCAAAAAACAAGGCTAGCAGAAGCTGTTGCCATACTGTCATAAGTAAAAGGAGAGGCATCAGGCGGGTGCCGAATGTGGAAGCGCGGCCACGGTGCATGGGGAGAAAAGAGTCACCTGAGAGCACACGCACCAGCCACGGAGACGCAAGACATTGGTCGGGGAAAGGCTCGTGGCACGTGACCCGGGCCGGAGAAAAAAATCCCATAGGATGAGCTGGCACTGTGCGTTGGGACGCCAAGCTGCGAACACATGAAAAACGAGCATCCCTACTGCGACGGAAGCAGTATAGCCACCCAGTTCTGAGGGGTGTCGGCGTGAGAGGCCCGGAGAGTGGCCGTTGACCTTGGAGGTTTTGAGTGAGGCTGCCCGAACTTGCCGCTCTTGCAATTCGCGGCAGGACGGCAACAGCCCACACCAGTCAGCATAGCGGACTCGCATTCAAGAAAGTCCATGACGAGGCTAAGCCTAGCCTAGCGAGGCCAAAGAAGATGAAGTCCAGGACACCGGCGACGACAACGAGCGGTTCGTTTAGCAGGACCAACCGATGGTGAAAGTAGGAGGTTGAGGAGAAATTCAACGACGTACTTGACAAACTTTGACACGGCAACTGAGAGAAGCCGACGTGAACTGTAAGAGCGTTCAGATTGTTGAGACGCCGGCCATATTGGATTATGAGTAGCAGCTAGGGCTAAGAACGAACAGATTTAGACTTGTTTGCAGGCAGTTTTGCTTGTGCTGCTATTGGTGTAATTTTGTGTCCGCGAATGATGGTTTCGTTTCCTCTTTCCATTTTTTTTTTCCTTATGTCTTTTGGGTTATAAAGTGTGTTTTGCCACGCCCGTTTTCCGACTCTCTCAATTCTATTCGATGCAAACGCTTACGAGAAAAGTTCCTGACACATACACGAGTTGAGCAGCCATTGCATTTACAACAAAATGAAGTTTCGGATCCACCACTGTGCCAGTGATGCCGCTGCAGCCATGAAAATGAACAGCCACAAAAGCGGCAATAGGCACATTGACTAGACAAATCCATGTACTCATTCCAACAATGATCACAGTGCAAGTGTTTGCTCTAGCAATTGCTGAAGGAAAACAGGTACATGGCACCAGTACACCAGGTGATGGGAAATATTCACACGAGAGATGCTGTTCGCCATGACATGCACAAGATAAGTTGGCACTAATATCCATCACACGAGCATACAATAACTCCTTTACGTAAGCAACCTTTCACTAATTTGAAGGACTAATGATGAGATATTGTGGAGCTGCTACATAGCACTGACAATTAATGTTTCATGTCAGAAACACTTCTGTAAGCATGGCGCTAACATTTCAAACAAGATCAGCAAAAATAACCTAGTTTATCTCAAAATATAAAAAAATACTGATAGCATTGTCATTTTTAAATCGAACTAAACAACAGATTGACAGACTACTACACCTTCTGTAAGGAATGCAGTTCATTTTGATGATTCTATGAAAAAATGCAAAAGAAAAATAAAGACCTACAGACAATTTTCTACAATGAAGCTGTTTACCAATAAAATAAATGTTTACAAAGTCAAGCGCACGGTTTCATGATTGATTTGTGGGGTTTAACGTCCCAAAACCACCATTTGATTATGAGAGACGCCGTAGTGGAGGACTCCGGAAATTTTGACCACCTGGGGTTCTTTAACGTGCACCCAAATCTGAGTACACGGGCCTACAACATTTCCGCCTCCATCGGAAATGCAGCCGCCGCAGCCGGGAATCGAACCCGCGACCTGCGGGTCAGCAGCCGAGCACCTTAGCCACTAGACCACCGCGGCGGGGCAGCGCACGGTTTCAAGTGCCGTTGATGTGGTGTACAACATTCCACTTTAGTGTTCCAAGCGTTATCAGAGTCCTTCAATACTTTTACTGGTCATGAACCTTCGGCAAAAGTTTGATATAGAGACAGGAGCAATCGCTGGGGGTGCCCCTGTCGCCGTTTGATGACACGCGCCGGAGCTGTGAAACGTAATTAAATGTAGCCGTGAAAGTTAAATACGTCTTCAGAATGATGTTCGCTTTAAGGAAATTCGGGAAAGCTCTAATAAAGTGAAATTTAGCATCGAATGAGGTCTTGAAGCAAGAAATTCAACGGCATGCTGATTCAACTATCATATATGCTACCGCTATAAAAGCATGCTTTTTTTTTTTCCTGAGCATCGAGTGAACATTTGTGTACAATCCAGAGTTTTTCAACGAATTCGGATTGTACACAAGTGCAATGGTTGCAACTTTTGACAGCGTTTATATATACAGTGTTTATATACACGAAGATTAGAATTGCCTCGCACTTATTAAACCAACGACCACTGTGAATGAATCAGTGCTTTTAATTTTGCAAGTGATGAGGATCAAGCAATACTTCATGCAACGTTTGTCTCGTTTTAGTTTTTTGTTGTTTTGCGTTAATTTATCACTACGGTGCCGTAGCGCGTTCCAAGTTTGGTTGACCGTGCAATGTAGTTTCTCTGTCCTTTACTCTGCTGTGTAGCTTACTCATGCTGCGTTTTGCCTGTCCTTATTTATTGTTTTTTACTGTAAAGGCGAAATCCTAACACATTCTACAAGGAAAAACAAATTGTTCTAATTATGATTGTCCATACTCAGATACTGTCAAACTGAAACTGGTCAAATGAATGTAAAAGAAAAATCATGTAAAA